AATAATAAATAAGCTTGTTTTACTTTTTTAAACAATTTTTATATACCACGTCTTGACAAGGTGCGAACTTAAGATTTCATCTGATTAGTAGCATTTATTGTTTAATTAAATTAGAGACGCGCGGTTTTTGTCAAAAATATATTGAATACATAGTGTATCTTTAACTATCGCTGAGTATATTATTGCGAATTATTTTTGCTTCCACTGGCTTCCACCAACCAGTTCAAGCAGACAGTCTTCTCTTCAGAAGTCACTTTTATTTATAAAACTCTAAAGTTAGATGATTCCTAGTTTGAAGTCAACTTATTTTCTGTCACTCCTAGCAAAGCAAAGAACGTAGGTATCAAATCAGAACACAAGTCTCAAATTTGCAAGTTTTCAAACAGAATGAATCAGATATTTTTAACCCTTAATTTCCTGAGTCATTGATGATTAATTTATTCGCCAAAAACTCATCATTTTAAACTTTTATGGCAATGATATGAAACTATAGATTAAAACTTAACGATAATCAAAACAATAAAACAATAGATGAAAGGGAAATCCGATTAGTATCTCGTATATATCGGACAAGTGTTGTTTGAAGAGCTTTAGTCTAATTTTGAAATTGAAGGAATCAAGAAACAAAAAAAAAATGAAGTCATTGAGTATTTTTATCACGATCGGATTGATTGCTATCGTGAAAGGACAAGATCCAGCTTGTCAATTTGAGACTGACAGCGAAGGACTGCTTGCTTGCAAGCTTACTGGTGGAGGAATTATGCCCGAGAACAGAAACAAAGAAATTGCAGGAAATCCTGGAGCCGATAAAACTTTCGCTGATGTCCAAAGAGTGTATTCATTAGAACCAGCTTCAACAGACATGATTTATTCAATCTTTAATAATTTTGTAAACCTCAAGAAACTTGAACTGACCAATGGAATAGTTGAAGAATTAAAGCAAGAAATGCTTTATAACTGCACAAAACTAGAGAAACTGGCCATTAATAAGGGCATAATTAAAACGATTGATTCAAATACTTTTATTAATTGTCCAGCATTGGCAGAAATAGATTTAGGAAAAAATACAATTTCTGGTATACTCAGTGGTGCTTTTAATGGACTTCCTAATTTGAAAACTCTCAATTTTAACAACAATGAATTAACAAATATTCAGGGCAGCATATTCAATGTCTCAACATTACAATCATTAGATTTGAGCAATAATGGATTGTCATTAACCAATAGAAGCATATTTACGTACACGAATGAACTTTTATCGTTAAACCTTGCAGAAAATGGAATCACATTATTAGTAAGGGAACAATTCAATGGTTTGAGTAAATTAACAGAACTAGATTTCACAAATAATGATCTAAATGCAACACAAGACACAGCTCTTGAATATCTTGAAGCACTTCAAGTGGCAAAATTTAAGAGCAATAACTGCATTGATAAAGATTACACAGATTACAGCCAATCATTATTTGCTGGTGATTTCGCAGTTTGCATTAAAAATTTCAATGGAGCTTCAATCATGATTTTGTCTAACTTGGTGCTGGTTGTGTCAGTTCTTATAAAGTTATTTAATTAATAATATTAAATTTAACAATGAAGTTATAGGGGCTTAAAAAGTCAAAAGAGTTGCACAGTATTAAACAGTGATAATATTTTATTTTAATCTTATTATACCTATTTCCTTTAATTATCATAGGTCCAATACTTAAAGTCATGAATATTTGATAAATTTTATAATTATACTTAAATCTTTAATAAATTATAAACTTTACTTTATGTACAACAATTTATTATTTTTTTTTTTTATAAGAACTTAGGTTTAGTAAGGTTAATTACATAATACTGCCTTTGAAAATTAAAAAATTTAACTACGCCTCTTTATGCTTTAAGTTCTAAAGTACCAACATCAATTTTAGTACCAATTTAAAGTTTATTGCTACGACTTATTCCATTACCCATGATTTCACCATTTCCTTATCAGTTGATGTCTTTCATGATCGAAATCGATTTTCAGATTACATGATTAATTGTGCTTCGCATGCGTCTAACTTATTTGCTGCGTGTCATTATTTTGGCTATTTAGGATGACAAATTGAAGTTTTTATCGCTTTGCAAATACATTAAAATTAACTTAACTAGACATTTGAGTCGATAATAAGTTCATTATTATGCAAAGTTTTGGGAATTAAAGCTTTAGTCTTAATTTATAATTCCTCCAGTAATTACCAGAAGCAATGATTATTATCGTACTGATTTTTATAGCTATTACAAGTGGATCCATAAATGGAGAGAGAACTAGAAGAAATCCCAACGATGTCTGTGCTTATTTAACTATCAATAACACTTACAGCTGTGAACTTTTTAATGTGAACATTACATCTAAGAATCAAGCATTCACTATAAATGCAAAAGAACAACAGGACACTCCTCATCTTGTCAGAAGGGTCTATTTTGCTTATGGACAAATTATGAGATATGTTCATCCACAAATATTAAGGACATTTACATTTTTGAGAACTTTGATCCTTAAAAATGTTCTTTTATTCGAGATTGACGAAACAAGCTTCTTCAACTGCAGTGATTTAGAATATTTGGACTTGTCGAATAATATATTAGAGTATATAGGCAAGGGAGTATTTGTTCGATGTCCAAAATTAAAAATAATTGATTTGAGTTACAATCGATTGGATAGAATCGAGGAACAAGCTTTCATTAATCTGGCAAACTTAACTCAATTGAATTTGGAGGAAAACTTCCTAGTCATTTACAATCAACCTAGTTATTCGTGGAATTTGCCTAAATTGGAAATACTAAACTTATCAGACAACTACATCCTTACATTATCTGACAATTTAATCCATAGTTTCATTCTTAAGGACCTTAATCTATCGGACAATAGAATAATGACAATTCCACGTTATTTCTTTCAACATTCAAGAGCGTTAATTCGACTTAAACTTGACAGAAATCGATTGCAGTTCTCTTATGACTGTCCATTCTCATATCTTGTCAATGTAGAATATTTATATCTGCAGTACAATCTTATCACAAACATAAATTGTGGATTATTCAGCAATATGTCAAATTTGAAGGAACTGAGACTTGAGGGAAATTTTATATATGCAATGTGCCCTGAAACATTTACAACATTGAAGAAGTTAATCTTTTTGGATATTTCCTTTAACATTTTCTCTAATGTCGTCAGCAATCCAAAAATACCTTTACAAGATCTGAATGAGCTTCAAATTTTGGATATGTCGCACAATTCAATTCAATTTCTTGCACACGGATTTGGACTAAGTGAAAATAATAAAATCAAGGAATTGAAATTAAGCCACAATAAGATCTACAATATTTATCCTAACATGTTTGAGAAAATGATTAATTTAACAATTTTGGACTTAAGCTACAATCGACTTATCACATTGTCTGTTGAAACACTCAGAAATAACTACAGCTTAAGAGTCTTAAAGTTGTCAAATAATAACTTTACAAGGCTTGATTATGAGTTTTTCTACAACACTTTGAATCTATACTTTATAGACTTTAGCTACAATGAAATCAATGAAATTGATGTTAATCTTGTGACTATATTCAGGAACATGATGTTGATGAACTTTACAGAAAATTACTGTGTAAATGTTAACTTAGTAAAAACTGGAAACACAGCTGTTGGAGAGTTAAACACAACTTTCAACGTCTGCTTTCAGAATTATGAAAATAGACATCCAAATGAGATTCAAATGCCGGCTATACCAACAGAAAGTCCGCATGTGTCTCAATCGAATTTAAATGAAGGTTTTTTTCAGATGCAATTTTTTGTAGCTTTTGTGATAGTTTTAAGATTCTGTTAGAGAAAATTAAGTAATTCTGGGATTAAATTCTGTAAAATTTTGGAAATTTGTCAAAATTCGCAATCGACAAAATAATTAAGTTTTCCTAGAACTACGAAAAGCAGGAAAACATTTTGTTTGTCATTAAAATAAACCATTGCTGTGTCAACGTGATAATGTTATCAATTCAGTCGTTCCTTATCAACTTTTATTAATTTATGTCATTGTTTTAATTTATTTCATGCAATCATAAATGTCTGATCCACATTCGCTTTCGATTACAGTGCCTACATAGAATTGCTGGATGGTTTATTTAAAGTTGTATGCACAAAAATATCCTTACAGATAATTGTTATTAGATTAAAGTAAACTAATCATGGGGTTGCTAGCAAGGTTCAATAGGTTTCGGTTTTTTAAGCTTATTCATTGAGGTCTCTTGGAAAATTGATGGAAAAACGGGAAAAACACAAATTTAGAAGTTAAGGTACGATTTAATTTTAGAATCATGGATTGTTTTACTTACATACTTCTTTGTAAGAAGTTGGAGTTCTTAATTTTACTGTTATTCATTCATCAGACTTACCATTTTTCCGATCTGCTTTTTGAATTTCCTCTTTATGTACATAAACGCCATCTTTCTATGAAACTATGCGATATTCTTAAGATGTACAGCACTCCTAATTGTATATTCCTACCGTGTACTATTTAATATGATTAGGAGTTATTTTTCAACAATTTGAATTGAAGTTTTTCGGATTTGAAAGTAAATAAAGATGTTCCCGCACTTTTTGCTGCTCATCTATTAGTCATTGTTGAGACATCTCAGTAAGTAGACATTGATTGACATTCAAATATTAACCATTTGATAAAAAAAATCATATTAATCAATAAAATTGACAATCAAAAGAGCTAGAATTAACAATAAGAGTAATTTAAAGGAAACCAAAACGTACAGTAATACATTACCAAGACGAGCGTTAAAAGAGGTGCGACTATAGTTGTTTTTTGTTTATGAATTAAACAGTGCTTTTTAAAAATAAATTTAATTACATTAACGAAAAGTTTTAAGAGTTAAAATCTATGTGAAACTATTTTCAATTGATCATTTTATCAAACTGATGTGTGAACGACTGAATAGACTATCAATAAGACACAAAAAAAGCTAGGAAAATGTTGCAAACAGAATACAAACTTTTTCACGAAAGTTTTATGAAAAATAATAATGGAACAACAGCATTCGATAGCTTTTTACATATTCTGCCATCAAGTTTTGCAATATTTCATACAATAACATTAACAACAGCATTAAGATTGAATAACAACAATATTCCAGTTAGATTTCTAGTGGAATTTTTAGTAATTTGCGGTTCTCTAGTTCTATGCACAACAGTCTTTAGTGATGTTATCGGTCATATAGTTTTGACATTCGTTCTTATTACAATCACCTCAATTATCAAACAATTGCATGGAAAATGTCACTTAACTCCATTCGTTCAGGTAACAAAATAATCATCTTTCAAGATCCAGCAATGGTGCTAAAAGATCATTTTCTTAATATCATTGTTTATCATTTAGATTCCAGCGATTTTGCCCGATTTTATCACAGGTGAGTCAATCTATTAAAAAGTTAAGCAACTCAAATAGGCATTAAATTAATTCAATCCATATCTTCACTAGTCGGACGCTCGATAATCAGCTTAATCACTGCCGTGTGCATATTGGCTGTAGATTTCCAATGTTTTCCTAGAAAACTAGCAAAAACTGAAAAGTTTGGATTTGGTGAGTTGGAAGATTTTTCTTCTTTTTGTACCTCTTTCTCTTCTGCTTTCATGTTTTCTTCGCTGTTTCTCATCTTATTTGCATTCATCTACTTCTTACTTTTTTTACACAACGTGATATTAACACAAAAAATAAATACATTATCTTTCATTTTGCTATTCTTTTAGGTCTTATGGATGTAGGCGTTGGACTGTTTGTATTTAGTAATGGAATTGTTGTTAAACCGTCAGCCGTTCCATTCTCAAAGAAGAAATTTCAGAAACTTGTTGTCTCATGCCTTCCACTCTTCATACTTGGCTTTTCGAGACTCGTCCTGACCAAGGAAATCAACTATCAAGAGCACGTAACTGAATACGGAGCTCATTGGAATTTTTTCATTACTTTGGCTGTTACAAAAATGCTTGGTACGGTGCTTGAAGGTTTTATGAAGACAGCCGAGCATATAAAATATTCTGCATTAATGCTGATGATGTTTCACGAGACGTGCTTACAATTAGGATTATCAAATTTCATAATGGATGATAATGGCAGTAGAAGTAACTTAATTACAGCAAATCGTGAAGGAATATTCTCCGTGACTGGATATGTCTCACTATATTTATCATCAATCTTTATCGGAACAGTTTTAAAGTCAGATGGACAAGAGTTGCTGAAAGTACGAGAAGTATTTTACAAAACAATAAAATTGGGTGTGATATCAGCATTTTGTTGGAAAATGATTTTCGTCTGTAATGGAATGTTTGGGGTGTCACGACGAACAGCCAATATGGGATATATATTTTGGGTATTAGCCATTGGAACCACAATGTTGACGCTATTCATGGGAATAGAGATGTTCATATATTACACAAATTTTAATCGACCACAATGGCAACAACAAGCAGAATCAAATACAAAATCGCAACTTGACGAACCTGATTTTCATGTTCCTTATGTTCCACTTATCCTTCAAGCAATCAATTATAATGGTCTTGCATTCTTTCTCATGGCCAATTTGTTTACGGGAATTGTCAACATATGTTTTCAAACAATGCTCCTGGGAACGTCAGCGAGTATCCTCATAATTACATATTATACGTTTCTATTAAATGTCATTATGGTCTTTTTATACGTTAACAAATTTAAGCTCAAAATATGGTAAATTCAATGCAAATGATTTAATCATTAAAATTATTAATTACAATTAATTTCGAAGAGAGATGAGCTCGCACACAAATCTACACAATTAAACAAAAATTAAGTCATTATAACGGAACATTTCATATACTCGAGGAAGCGATGAAGTAGAGGAAATTATGGACAAATAAAGAGTAAAACTTTTTTTTATTATTATTAATTTTTAAATGTGAAAAACTGATTAATTATTTTTTAAAGCTCGTCGTGTTCAAGTCTCTTTATGTAATTTCTATAATCTTCATGATTCCTTACAGCCTTAACAGCTTTTGCAACCAATCGACCGAATTCATCAGGATCGAAATTGTAGTTTTTAAACTTTTCATGTGACTCATCCTCGTAACCAGCCTCGATTGATTCTACGAAGTTTTCATCTTCCCACGTCATGTAGTTGATTCCTCGTAATCTTGCAAGATCATGATAGCAATTTGGATCTCCGCAATTATGAAGTTCGAAGAGAGTTGCCCAGTTTGGAAGGAACAGCAAGTGTGTTAAGCCAGCTCCATGAATGCCAATAAAAACGTCAGTATTCTTTGTTATTTCCATTTGATCAAGAAACTTTATGTTTCTATCGTATACGACACGTTTAACTTCATAATTACTATTTGATGAGATTCGCTTGATTAAATCCTTTTCGTTTAATACATTCCGATATTTTGTGTTGCGTGATAGGAAAGTAATGCGAACTTTTCTATTTTTTGGCTCGTGCTGTTTTATTTGAAGGCGATGCATTAAGTGCTCTGAGAATGCATGGAAAAGTGCACTGTTTTCGCAGCCGTTGATCTAATTGTTTAAAGGAAAAGTGTTAATCTTAGTAAAGGACGTACTTAAAGACTTTACATACTTAAGAGTTTCTATTAGCTACGATTTAGTGATTAGATTAAAACAAAATGATTCGGTATTTAACGGATTTTTCAAATTTAAATCGTTAAACCCTACTAATGTTTTGAAATCTGGTTACTACACATTTGTACAGTTCTAAACATTGAAGTTCTTTTTATATTTAAACTCCAAATAGCAGTTAAACATAAATTAAAAACATTTTTAAGGTTTCTAAAATCAAAAATTTAAATGAATGATAAATTATCACTGCTTGAATCCAGAGATGTCGACCCAGTTTCGAGCTACTCTGTTTAAATCTATATTAAGCAACATACAAACTTACCAAAGGAGTATTATAATACAGTCCAAAGATCATCCTCGGTGGCAAAGAAAACACCAAATTCTTAAAGCACACGACCTTGCCTTTAAACTTATTCAAGTTCCATAATTCATTTTCGGTAAATGCTTTAAACGTGTCAGCAAATTGCGACCAATATGGATGTGTTTCCCAAATTAATATATTAACATCCGTAGTAAATCCACTTTCATGAGTAAAATTGACATGCTGCGAGACATAAAGATTGAAAAAATCACAGAAATGATGATACAAATTAATTGTTGAGTCTAGCTTCATAAGATAAGTAGGTTTTTCAACCACAACGTCACACAAATCATCTTCAATAGGACGCTTCTCGAGAGATTCATAGTTCCTTAATTCAGCTGCCCACGACTGAAGAGCACCTAAATGATCTAATTCCTCTTCAAATTTGTCTTTGTGAAATTTACAATAACCGCCAATTTCGCCGGCTTTAAGCACATTCACATCCCATCGAAACGGTTCTTCTCGTTTTACCAAATCTGTAAAATTAATCATGAGATTCCGCCCACGACAGAATCTAACATTTTCACTGCATTCTAATGATGAATCAGTAATTGTGTACGGCTCACAATAGACTTTAAGTTCCCTGAGTTGTTGCTTAACATAGCCTAAAACGATATGAAAATTATAGTGTTTCCAAAAATAGAAGTGAGCATTCATACCAAAATCAGCTTGCGAATAGAAAACATCCAGTTGAGTTTCTTTGTCCTTTACATATCCTGAATGATTTCCTGGACATTTGTGAATAAATTGTGGCTTTTTACATCCATATTCATATCCCCAGCATAATTCACGGTCATATTCTTCACTGCTGAGGTAGTCTTTATAAAATCCATGTGATGTCTCATTCAACTTTTTGGTAAATCGCCGTAAATTATTAAAATACTGTGACAAATGATTTTTTGGTAGATCTATATCCACAATTCCGTCATTAAATTCATTAATTACTTCACTTAGTGCACTTTTTAGGAACAAAATTAATATAATTAACAATTTTAAACAAAATAAATTCATTTCTTAACATTAAACATTAAAAGTAAATAATACTGGACTCTGCAGATGGATGTACACTGTGAAAAAATTTTGGATGATGAGAATCAACAGGTAGATGTGCGGGATGCATACGTTTTAGTGCTATACTAATGATTTTAATGTTGTTTTGTAATTTATCCGATTCTATTGAGTTGGTTCCATGCTTAAAGCTAAAGCTGCTCGAAATTCGGAACCAGAAACTTCAGCATTAATCGTTCAATTAGTTCACAGCTGTAAGATTATATTGATCCAGATTAAATGTAAAGCTGAAGATTAAAAATTAAGTCATAGGATTTAAATAAGTTTAGATTAAGACTAATCCTTAGATTTACATGCCCAAGGCTCCAGGATCAATCAAAATCCAGCATATGATTTATTGTAAAAATTCTCTTCATTTATTTAATTCATGTGACAATTTAATGTATTAAATCATTCCCAATTATCGCATTCCTTAAAAGCTTTCTTTGAATTAACCTTACTTGCTATATAATTATTATTTTTTGAAGTTTTCGCCTTCTTGCTAGTTCCTTCAATTGTCGTTGGACTAAGAACTTCATCTTTAGAGTTTATTTGGCAATTATCTTCTGAAATTTGCAATTTATTTTTCATGTCAACATCAAAGGCATCAGAATCAGCTTTAGTGACGTCCTGCTTGTAGCAAAATTCTTGAATATACTTTCCATTTGTATTACAGTCATTTTCGCATGTATAGATAGCAATGATTCCCCAATCTAAATCGTAATTTTTCAAGTCATTCAGCATTTGTGGCATTATCTGAAATTCGAATGATCTTTTTCCATTGCAATTTGAGCATTTTGGGACATTTGATTTGTTTAAAGTTCCCGTACTTGAAATCCAAAGAGGCTGTCCATGACGACTGTATCTGATGACTTGCGTTGGATTACTTTCAATGGCTTTTTTAAACTTTCCAAATGCTTTATCTTCTTTTGTGTCATCCATGTCCTTCATATCAGCCTCACTAATGTCACCATTGTGTACAATCTTTCCTTCTTTAATCATATCCTCATATTCACGGAATCGTCTAGTCTCAGACTCTTTATCTGATTCTCTTTTAGCTTTTGTGTCTGTGTCATTATCTTCACCTTCAATAACGATTTCGTACTCAGGAAAATGGCAAGACTCGATTTGATTAGTTTTGGATATGCTTTCTTGTCCACAACTTCTTTTGTGCGATTTCCAGTCAATTTTTTGATGATGTTGTCCACAATAGTTGACAGATTTGCACTTTCCACAAACCATTGGACCTTTACAGCCACAAACATTGCAAACTTTACAGAATGGCTCAATTCCTTCGATCTCTACTGACTCATCAGCTGGCGTATCCGGATAAAATTTATTAATTAATGGCAACTGACTTCTTAAGACTTTAACGTTTCTGGGAATTTAAAAAGATTAGAATAAGCATTCACAGTTATTTTATTTGAAGATGTTTACCCAGATTGATTGATGTTACAGCACTTTCCGTTCCGGCAAATAAATACAAAAATTGTTCTGTGAAATGCATGAGATATTTTGCCAGTTCCAGCAGCATAAATTTGACAAAGAAATGTACACGGCTCATTGCAGTAATCACAACTTAGATCCTTTGCATCTGGGATGTTTTCTAGCTCTAAAAGTATTTAAAAAATTATAATAATAATAATGATAAAAACAAAGATCTTTTAAATTACCCAGCCAAGCTGCTTTGCCTCCGATCTTCGATGGGAAGAAACGATTTGTCAATAACCATGAATCCTGTTCTTCAGAAAAGCCTAGATCTATGCTTTTTAATTCTTTTGATTCCATGACTTTAATTTTGAGCACGTTTTAAAATTTTTTTGTTGTTTTTTTTTTGGGAACATTACAAATGTTTTTAAAACTTCAAAATTAGAATATCTTTAAAGATTGTGGACAATGCAATGAAATTAGGCTTATTTCTTACTTAATTAAATTAATTCATCCAGTTTTGTTTGTTTTCTTAATATAAATATTATTTGATTTATTTAAAATTTAAAGCACAAACATTTGAATGGTTTTGGGTAGGAATGAATACATTTTTCTGGTGTTGTTGATGATTTTCAAACTTGAGATCTAAGCATTAATTGTGGACAGAGATAGAGTCTGAGATTTTGTAGGTTTAATACCTTTCAAATCAATCAAAATCCCTTCATAGCACAATTCAACTGATCAGTTCGGTAGATTTTAACTTTTGTAAAACCACGTTCTCGTAGTTTTTGAAAAATCAGCACAAGAAGCTGAGCATTGGGTTCAGGTTGACGGCTATAAACCCAAAATTCGAAATCATTTGTACAGTAATAAAGGATAGCATAGCTATCGTAGTCCGTGATGATGATCTCGTAAAGGTTTGTGACTGAAAAATGGAATAAACTTATTAAAAATCGATGATTTATACTTGATACCATACTCATAAATGCTGGATAATGAAAAGCAACTACACCTTCTTCGATCTCAGCTGCTATTCCCATACTCTTAACTTCTATTCCTTGAGCATTTATAAACCTTCTGTAGATTGACAGTCGTCCACGTGCAGCAGCAGATAGCTTTATACGATCACATCTTTCTACTAAAGTTGAATTAGCCATAGATGTATAAACCTCATACCAAGTTCCGTTGAATCTTTCCATTGAAAATTCATCCATGTTGGACACTGCTGGACATGTTTTTGAATTCTTCGGTCGCTGTCGAATCACTGCTTCTGATGCTGTTAATAAAAGCACTGCTAATGATCTTTAAATTGCCATCATTAGTAAGTATCCCATTGTTTGTGAATAAATCTAACTTACAGCCTAAAGATAATACTGTCCATGTCTGATCCAGACTTTAAAAAACTAAACTAAATCACTTAACAAATCATTTATCTCTTTTAATAGCCATACTCTAAATTGGTACCTACATTGTTTACTTCAAAACCATTAATTTATTATTTCACTATTTACACAAATTTCTACACCTTAAAATTACAGCTTACATGCCACTCATTTCCCACTATTCACAAATGGAAACTGATCATTGCAGTTTTGGTCAATCAGTTTCAAAAAGTTTGGCGGTAAAGTGTTGTTAATCATTGTGGAGAAGACATTTTGCCAATATTGTGACTCTAATGTCTTGTTTCGACTCATAACCCATACATTTTGTCCTACTATATAACCTGGATAGTTGTTGCATGTGAATAGAACTGCATAGTTCTCGTAGTCTGTGCCTGGAACTGATTAGAGTAAGTTTGGATAAGAAAAAAAAGAAATGGAACCACAAACTTACCCAAAACATTGTAGACTCCATTGTCCCTAGCTAAAGAGCTAATTACTAAAAATCAAAGTATCACAATTCAAAACAAACTCACGCAATACAGGAAAGTTGATCCCCAAAGTCCCTCGTCCAACAGCTGACGCAGATCCCATAACTCTCTTTTCATTACCAAATGAAATATATTTTTTGAATACACTAATTTGTGCATTGTTGGCGCCAACGGCTGGCCATGTAAATATCACAACTGGACATCTCATGCTGAGTAATGTGCTGTCTGGATAAATAGCGAGGATATACCATGTGCCAAGAAAGTCAGAAACATCTAATTTTGGAATGCTTTGAACTTTTTGACAATCAACTGGACCTCCTCGTTGTGCATTAATAATTTGGTGATTGATGTAAATTGTAAGAATTAATGAAAAGAACCTAAGGATAACGGGATATAGTTTATAAATGTAGTTTAAGTATGATCTGTTAAAATTTACTTTGCAAGCATGGTTGATATTGTTGGATACTCCTTATTAAAAATCAAATAACAACTGATGTGAAAATAAAGCTAGGAATGACCCAAAATGTATTTTCAACAACTTTTTATTAAAAGAATCAACCTTAATGCAGAAATTATATTGTTTTTCTGTTTAGTATGCCCACTTTTTACTCATTAGTGGGTGCAGAAGTGTGACTGTTTGTATAGCTTTTTATAAGCACGTGCGTATGTAATTATATTGAAGTTCTATGGCATTGTGGATTTAATAATTAAATTAAGTTAAAACCAATAAAAAAAAAATCAGTTGTCATTAAAACATCATTTAAGCATGTTATTAATTTTGGTGAAATAAATTTGCAAATTTACACATCTTTTTAACGGATAAAATTTATTAAAATTATTTGCACGGAATCAATCTTCCAAGTATTTTGTATTTGGAAACCCCGTTTAGCACAGTTTTAACATGCTTTTAACATAAATAACAATTTATAAGTCACTTTGGCCCCCTCCCACTCCCCCTTGTTACAATATGTTACAACTCACAACCCCCTCCCCCCTTGAACGTTCATAATTTATTTTATTTTGATAAAAAGGTGGAAAATTTAAAAAAATGTTTTTGGTTCGTTACATACTTCTTGACACCCCCCCCCCCCCTATGTTACAATTTTTCAACCCCCCCCCCCCCCCCCAAAATGCGAACGGCCTCATACCATACTTAAGTATCATAACAAAAGAAATGCGCACAAGTCAACAGCAATAAATAATTAATCATACTTGTTTAGCACTTAGCACACAAAATTGACGATTTAGCTTAAAATCGAATTCCGTAAATTCTTATTTGTAATTCCTTCAATTTTTTGTGTTATTTATGGATTAACCAAAGTTAAAAGTGTGTTAAAAGTGATCATTATTTACTGCAGAAGAAAAGAAACATAAAAGATAACAAAGCGAAGACGATAATAAGGAAGAAAAATGTTTTTTACGAAAATATCTAGTCTAATTCTTATATGTGGCTTAATTCACTACTCTCAGCCGTTTTATTTGCCTGGATTAGCTCCTCAAAATTACTGCAAAAAGTCTGAAAGTTCAAAATCATGCAAGGTAAGCCGGCATTAAAACATCCCATAACTTTTTTTGGACGCAATTTTTCTTTTTGATTTCGTGTCCAAAAAGTTTTCTCACTGCAAATTCACAGTCTCAAATTATCGATAAGACTTAAGTGACTAGACCAAACATGTATAACATGCCTTATCGCTCGCATTGTACAGTTTCCGCTATAAATAATATGCTGATTGAAATTATGGACGATATTAATACATACTGAATACGTGTCCTATAAAATTGTATATATACATGCTATATACATACATAGTCTTTTACTCTTTGTATCACTCATTATTATACCTTGACTCATCGTCATTATTATTATTTTTTTCTTCTTCTGTGCTATCTATTCTAATACATTTTTTATTGTCTCATTTACTGGATGTTAGTCGGAAGTGACATTGTATGTGAACCGCTTAAATACCGAGGAGTCTGTAATTCCTTATGAATATCATCATTTTGATTTTTGCACGACTGATGAATCAAACTCACCTGTCGAGAATTTAGGACAAGGTAAGAGAGCTATAATGTGACATTCTAGAACAATAAATAAAATAATTAATTTAAATACCTTTATAGTAATTTTTGGAGAACGAATTCGTCCATCTCCATATAAAATAAACTTTATGGAAAATACAACGTGTCAGGTGTTGTGTAAGAAGCAGTATGTAGGTGGACAAGCTGACAGTGAGCGACGTCTAATGATAATGAAGAAAGGAATGAGCTTAAATTATCAACATCATTGGATTATTGATAATATGCCAGTTACGTGGTGCTATCCACTTCAAAATGATCGTCAATATTGTTCAACTGGCTTCAGTATGGGATGTTTAGTGAGAAACTCAAAGAATCCCGATGTTGAGGAGAGCTGTGCATTAAATCCAGCTTATAATCGTCCTGGAACTTACTATCCATTCAATCATGTTGATTTACTTATAACTTATCATAGCGGTGCCACAGAAGATTGGGGAAATACATTCAAACAGAACGGTGGACGTATTATTTCTGTAAAAGTCACGCCCTCATCAATTCGTCATGATGTAAATGCTCCCGATTGCAATAGTCAACAACCTCTTGAAATTCCAGCAGCACCTTTAGAACAAGGAAAGACAGTAGACGTCCTTTATACATATTCAGTCAAATTCGTGCAAAATAATACGATTAAATGGAGCAGTCGATGGGATTATATCCTTGAATCTATGCCCCATACAAATATTCAATGGTTTAGTATCTTAAACTCTCTCGTCATCGTTCTATTTCTTTCGGGAATGGTTGCAATGATTATGCTGAGAACTCTCCATAAAGATATTGCAAGATATAATCAAATGGATTCAGGAGAGGATGCACAAGAAGAATTCGGTAAGTGACTATGATTGATGAAGATTTTAAAGGCTGTCTTATGCGATAGTCATCAATTTCAATTTAGATCCTATATTATTTTTGGACAGATAAATCGAAAAGTCATTATTACGATATTTCCACTTGTTCTGTTATCTACAGCAACATGTATTTGTAAAGTTTTAATGACTTTCTCATACCTACCGATAAAATTCACTTCTTCTTATCGCTAAAAACATGTCTTTATGACCCTTTAATTTTGGATTTACTAGTCACGTTTTCTGTTTGTCCTTAAAACTAGTTGTTAACTGGTTGCTATGCATTTGCAAAGTTCCTTTAAAAGTTTAACGATTTTTTGATATTTGAATTGAGTGTTTTGGTATTAATCACAATTTAATTTATTTTATTCAGGCTGGAAACTCGTTCATGGAGATGTTTTCCGTAGTCCAAGAAAGGGAATGCTTCTCGCTGTATTGCTCGGTTCCGGTGTTCAAGTTTTCTGTATGTCCCTCATCACACTTGCCTTCGCATGCTTGGGATTCTTGTCGCCAGCAAATCGTGGAGCTTTAATGACATGCGCTATGGTTTTATTTGTTCTTCTCGGAACTCCAGCCGGCTATGTGTCAGCTAGAATTTACAAGAGCTTTGGGGGAATCAAATGGAAGAGTAATGTCCTCTTAACAGCAATGTTTAGCCCTGGAATGGTCTTTGGCTTGTTCTTCGTCATGAATCTTGTATTATGGCATGAAGATTCATCAGGTGCAGTTCCATTCTCAACACTCGTAGCTATTTTAGCATTATGGTTCGGTGTTTCTGTTCCATTGACATTTGTTGGTGCATATTTCGGTTTCCGTAAGCGAAGCTTAGAACATCCAGTGAGAACAAATCAAATACCAAGGCAGATTCCCGATCAATCGATTTATACACAGCCAATTCCTGGAATTATCATGGGTGGTGTTTTACCATTCGGGTGCATCTTTATCCAGCTATTTTTCATCTTAAATTCATTGTGGAGTAATCAGGTATGTTTTAATCCTCAAGTTTTAATTTTAATCTAATTAAAATTCTAATTTTATTAGATGTACTACATGTTTGGATTCCTCTTCCTCGTGTTCCTCATATTGGTCATCACATGCTCAGAGACCACGATTCTCTTATGTTACTTCCACCTGTGTGCTGAAGACTATCATTGGTGGTGGCGAAGTTTCCTTACAAGTGGATTTACAGCCGTCTATTTATTCATTTATTGCTGTCACTATTTCGCCACAAAACTTCAAATTAATGACGCAGCAAGTACATTCTTGTACTTTGGCTATACGCTCATTATGGTGTTCCTTTTCTTCCTCCTGACTGGATCTATTGGATTCTTTGCATGTTTCTGGTTCATTAGAAAAATATACAGTGTCGTCAAAGTCGATTAAGTTTAGATATATATTCTTACTATCCAAATTGTCCTATATATTATTATAATTATTTTTATTTAATAACAATAGCAACTTTTTTGACATCAACTTACAGAATAAAATCTTTATTTGTCTTTGATAGCACACAAAGCTCCTTTTAAGTAATAGTCATTGCTGTAGTCTTGACATTTTTAGTTTTTTTGGCTGAAATTCAGGCTCAAAATGAGTATAATATACAAAATTAAAGCCTATAATTAACCAAAAGCATCCAAAAAATTGACTGTGAGGAAGAAATTTGGAAGGTTTTGCGGGAAATGAGAAAGAAGCAACAAAAATAATTTAAAAACGATGTGTAATTAATTAAATATTAATTTAAATCATAAGCATAACATGTTATTATTTAGGATTTTTCTATGTAACAGAAAGAAAGTAAAAGAATCAAGTGATCAGTTTAATTAAGATTTCTTGGACGTGGTTCGATGTTGTATGGTTGAGGTCTATTGAATTGACTGAAAATTGGCCAGTAAATCTTATAATTTCTAGTTGAATCTTGTGTGATGTGTGCTTGATGGTGCACACTAGTGATTGACATAGGCGCAAAGCCCGGAAAGGATTTATCTCATCCTAGACCCAAAAATTAGTGAACAGCTTTTCAAATCTCCCTCAATAACATTCAATATAACCAAAACTATGCAACATCATCTTATCCAGAAGCTAAGGTTGATTTAAAGTAAAAGTAATAAGATGAAACTGGAAAGGACTTGAAATTTGCGCATAAAATATAGTTTTATAACATAACAGATAACTATTAATAGCACTTTTTGGATTAAACAGACTTCTTCTTCTTAATTTAAAAATTGCAAAATGTAAATATTTTTTTTAAACTAAACATTTCGGCACCTTCTATTTTGGACTGTCCTATAAATTGTGATGTAGAAGCTAAAGAATCAAAAAAGGCTTTACAATTTAAATTTTATTTATATGAGTCAGCGACGGTTTGGACTTGGATGGTGAGATTTTCATTAGTAAACAATCTGTCAAATGCGATATTGGGATATAATGAACGCTTTTTAGTAACTTGAGCATTTGCACATGTGTTGATTGAATCGAGTAAACAGCACGCAGTGTTGTTGCTTTAAAAATCTGGGAAGGAATGTGCAAATATAGGAAATTATAAATCTTGATGCTTATCATAAACACAATAAATAAGCTAAGGCTGAAATCATTCAGCCTCTCGAACTTAAACAATGAACTTATAGGCCATAAACTTTTTTTAAATCAAATACCATGTGATTGTTATACAAGAATCAATATAAAAGAATGCTTCCCACAAGTCTATATATTGTATTGTCAAGCAGTTCGAATGCATATTCTTATTTGTCCAAAACAGGTTTAATCAGGAGTTCGTAAGAATATATGCATGATAAATGTCAAGAGGCATTGAGTATTAAAATTTCTTATTAACGACTGTAAAAGGAACCAAAAACTTAACATTCCCAATCCTCAAATCGCTTCTGTGTACAATTAACCCTGATTTACAGAGATTTAGCTCTTTATTGATTAGGTTCAAGGTCTAATTAATCGGTCTGAAATGTAAATTGACACTCGATTGATCTTACGCTATTATTGAGTATGAGTTGAATAGCAATGCACTGGTCCGAAAACGAACTACTAATGTGGATATCCACGATTTAAGTAGATTCCCTTTGAATAAAAAATTTCTGGAACAAAAACAACTGCTCAAATCGAGGTCGCCAAGTAATTGAAAACTTGGCAAAATAAGCAAGTATCTGATCGATTGACTGAATCTCTCGTTGACCTTAATCGATTAGCTGGTTTGAACTGAGAATCAAACCCTTAATTGATCTCTTATTCGATTCTGTTTCAATTTCGATTTACAAATCGAACTTATATTCTTTAATCCAACAAACAAGCATAAATCGCAGACATAGATAAACAAATCACCTAAATGAGGCACAAACAGAACTGACTCAAAACGTATTATTTGGCAAATTTTAGTGATTGTTTGTATCAAGAAAAATCCTTTTCTGTAATAAAATATCAACAAAATAATTTTGGTTTAGTTCTTAATTAAGCTGTATAACTTTATCCTCTATATTTGATGAAATAAATTGATTAAAAAAACTTTTAAAGATATAAAAAATAAAACTCGAAGTCTTCTTTTCTTTCTTGGCAGTCAATCTCCTATTTTTTATTTCATATCATTCATGAATTTTACATATGTAGTATAGCTTATCGTTCATTCACATTATTGAGTTTTTTTAAACAATCCACGTGCCATTTTATTTCCTCTTCCACGAAATTTTTTATTCTATTTTTTTTACTCTTTTCTTATTTTATTATTTTGACGTCTTTCACGCACATTTTTTTTTTTTTCATTTTTACGGCACTAAATGAACATTCGTCACACTTTTGTGTTTAGCTTGACGAATTTTAGGACGAAAATGAAGTGAAGAAGAATTTTTATTCCATTTTTAAACATTCAGTAATATTGTTTTTAAATTATCACATTCTTTTTGATTTTTTCAGTCTCGTCATTCATTCACACAAGTAAAATGGTTATGTCTGTATTTCACACACATTTTTCAACATTCGCACGTGGAAAATTGTTTTGACGGAGAAAATGCAATTAATGGATTATAATACCTTGACAGGTTGTGTTGTTAAGGTTGCTAATGCGCGTATTTACATTGTAAACATTTGCTTGTTGTTGACGACATTTTAATGTTTTTTGAAGATGGCTATATAGCTGGGTGCCCTCTGCAATACAGCAAAAACCGATTCATTAAATGATCCAGTTAACGAAGGTCATGTATCACGATTTATTTAAAATAATGCAATTGAAATGCTCATGGTCTATATACGAGTTGAATGGTTGTTACAACTGTGCACATGGTTATTATCTATATTTTTTTCTACCATGGAAGTCTTTCATAGAGAGATATGTAATAACAGATTGATAGAGCATGACATCTTCAAACTCTGTTTCCGGTACTAAAGACCGTAGATTCGATATCTTGAAAGTTCGATATTCAAGAGAAGTAATATCAATATTACATGAATTTTGTAAAGGAACTCGAATTTTTTGTTCATTTGATTTACGTTTAAAACAAGTTTTATTGTCTTCTTGATTTAAATTCCATAAACATTTCTAGAATCAATAAATCAAAGTTAAATCTTGGTACTGTTTTATACAACTTGATTGATCTCAAATCAATTGAAACCGAATTTTAGAGTTCACTCTATACTAGCGTGTGGTTTATGAGTTTGTTTTCTTCAACGACAAATTTTCAAGGAGCAGAATGTTATTAAGTATGAAGGAAGTTTATATTCTTTAGTCATTTTGAATTACAAACGTTCGTTTTTACTCTTATTGATTGAATTAACGTCAATTGTTTCTTCCTGTCTTACATTTCCTCCATTTTCTTTCAATTTTCCTCATTTAAAAAGGTTATTTTTTGTTTGATCATCACATTGTATAAATCTTACATACTAGATGCATACAAAAGTAACAGGAAATAGTACACAGGTAAAAGGAAACACAAACTTTCTCAACAAACTCTTTTTAGGCTTGTGATTAACTAACGATTGTCACATTCGTACATGAACAATAGAACAAAAATCAATCTTTTTTTTATTTTTGGAAATTAGAGGAACAGAACTCACAACAATTGATAATTATGATAAATTTATCACACATTCACTGATTCATGAAATGTTCTTGTGATTGTTTGCAGGCACACACAGTTGATTTTTTTTCTTTATTGATTATTCCTAGTTCAGGCATAAAAATTCATCTTATACTTAATTTTATTCTCATGTATACCCAAAAAAGCTCATTTATTATCATTCATCATTTACATCTTAAGTATTTAGGAAATGAACGATTTATACTTCTTACAAGTTACTACTGGGATTCGAAGGAAGAAATTTTATTTTTAAAATGACTCGATTTTTTTATGATATTAAAGTTGGGAGGGTTTTTAAATAGGATATGCTGGATTTAACCTTCATATTCTAGCAAAGCTTCCTTAAAAATTGTGATTTGGTGTTTTTTTGTAAAATATTTTCCCTTTAGAATTAGGAAAACTGCGTACTATTAATAAAACAAATTAATATCGTTTTAAGAAGATTCAAGAATTAAAAACATAATTTTGAAAATGAAGCATTGTGAATCGTTTATTTGAAATGCTAATTGAAGCTACTCATCCTTTCAAAAGAAATAAAGGTTTAAACTAAGGAAAATGACGTGGATTAGAGAAAGTTTTGGTAGATTCTAAAACATTACCCAAGATGATTCAAAGGATTTAACACCAAAGATTTCATTTGACAGTGCTTTGCATGTGATGCATTATCTTTATAAAGGATCTAGGAATTCTCGATGTCAGTGTGATCGAGTAGATCAGGTTGGGTAGCAGTATTTTAGGGATCACTACTAGAAACATTTATAGAAAATCAAATAAAGCAAGGAGCTAGTAAACAAACAATTCTGTGGAACAAAATATTGCATCATTAAAACTTCCTCTCCACGACTAATTAAAGCAAGAAAATAATGCATTGGAGCAACAAAAAATATAATAGAAAAGCAAAGTTAAAGTGAATAAGAAAACAAATTAATTATCACATTTGTTTCACAATTTGTTATTACATTAATTAACACATAAATTTTTTGTCCCTTAAGATGCAACACTAACATCCTTCTCATTTGATTTGTGTTTTATTATTTCATTTATTGCTCAATTTGTGACTTTAAATCAATCCTTTGCTCGATTTCGCGTTGATATGATTTTTTTTTTCTTCGCAAAAGAAAAAGAAATGAGAACATCCAAAGCGGAAGTGACCTACTTAAAAATTGTTTTATGTTCAAATTTTTTACTCCTTCATTACACCCAATCACAGTGATTTATTCCAATTTTTTGTCATTATAAACAACAGAGAAATGACTTTTAAGCGCAGCATTCAATTTGATTAGATTTCACATTTATTTTTGGACTCAA